GAATTAGAAACTCAAATTACTGATATTGAAAAGCTAGAATATAAAATAAGAACCTCATCTTTTCTATTTGCTAAGATATTGCTCATGTAATGAACCAAACACAGTGGTACCCCACCTACCTCTTTCCAATTTTGGAAATGCTCCCTTATATACACTTATTTCTATATATGACATGAATAACCAATCGGAATCTCAGAATGTCACCCTAGTGGCTTTCTCAGCCATTTTAAAGTCCTAGGATGCCATTTCTTTCTTTTGAACCAATATTTTAATGAGGTCGGGTGTGTCTTCAGTCTGCTCCAAATTTCATATTCTTTTAGACTAAAAGAAATCTTAGTTACTAAGCTTGATAAATTATAGTGGAATTCTATGGTATTATTACAGCAATTTATAATTTTTGGTGATCCAATTGTATATATAAAACCTAAATAAAATCATTTGTTTCATATCCTCCACATGCAAAATTTTAAAAGGCTTAGCAACCTATGTCAAGCAGCAACCAAGAACAAAAAACATAACTAGAAAAGATAATTGCTTGCTTTACTTCTTTATTCACTATTCTATGTTTTAAGAAAAACAAGTTTAAGAACTTATTTCTAAATAGCAATAATCTTCTTCTTCTGTAGCTTTTCCCGTCTCTATACGGGACCGCTATTTTTGGTGTTGGCAGGGTTTTTACGGCCGGATGCCCTTCCTGATGCCAACCATCCCCTAATTTAGCAGTGTAAGACTAGAGGGAAGGCAGCTAGTCATCACCACCCACTGCCAACTCTTGGGCTACTTTTTTACCAACGAATAGTGGGATTGACCGTCACATTATAACGCCCCCACGGCTAAAAGGGCGAGCATGTTTGGTGGGACGGGGGCGCGAACCCGCAACCTGCAGATTGCAAGTCGAGCGTCCTAACCACCTAGCCATGCTGGGCCTTCACTTTCATTGCAATAATCTATATACATATATAATGTATAATAATTGAAATGTGACTGTATTTTACAAAATACTAGTCTACTAAAACACAGCCAAGACAGGTCACTTTGTAAGGACTAAAGGTCAGTTTTATATTATTGGATACGGTAACACAAGTGCACGTGTGTCACGTCATTGTAACTTCTGTATTGTTAGCCAGTCAATATATATAAATATATAATGTTATGAGATTTAAGTTATTTAGTCTAAACA